AATAATGCTTTTCTAAGATTCTTTCACCCAGTACCACCCAAGTATCATCTTAGTGACTTTCTCTCCTTGTTTGGGAGTGAAATGATTTAGAAAAAGCATCAAAATCTGGAATATGACGGAAATGAATATCGGGAGATTGTGCTGAGCAAGTCGTTTATGTAGAGTGGGACTCTTTGCTTTAATAATTAGAATTCAGAAAATTATTTTTCCTGGTCTTGAGGACCGAAATGTTGCCTCAGCGGCAAATATGTAACCATCTCCTTCATGAAGCAGACCCGTAGATATTTACTAAGCAAATCACAAAATCTGTCGGGCTTTCGATAAGGAATGAACTCACTAGCATTAAGATCAGTTAAACGCTACTAATTAATTATTCACTAAGCTTAGCATAGTCTGAGACAAGGTTGGAATATTAGGACACTTGTAAGAATTCCCCCTCATTTAACTAAAGAACCGGTTTGTGAGAAGTGTTTGCTAATCATTGTCATATACACATTTGCTTGTTGAAGAATTTCACAGTTACCTCTCCTACATTTTCGCCATCTATGTACCTTGACTCTTTCGGGATGTGGACGATCAACCTCTTCACAATTTTCTTGTCTTTTGAAACTCTTAGGAAAGTGTGTCTTTTTTGCCTATATCTCCTAATCCTTGATCTGCCAAACATTTACACAAACTGGCTAGGGTAGAGGTTATGTATTGCTCGCTTCTGTCTCTTTTGCCTCCAATGTCCTGTGAGTGTCATATTTTCCAAGTTCTTTTTCCTCAATGTACCTCCTAGAAAATACAATTGTCACTTACTGATGCTAAGTAAATGTGTCCTCTTTGTTTCAATTTTCTCTAAAACTTCGTCGTTGCTCACGTGTCCAGTCCCTGGCATTTTCACCATCCTTCTGTAGAACGACATTTCTGTCGCATAACGTCTCTTCTTCATCTCTCATGAGATTGCCCAGCATTCACTGCCGTACAAGAGAACTATGGCGCAAGTGTTAAATGCTCCTTTCTTTGTTTCTAACGAGATTTTCCTGTTTTTACTTTGCTTAGTTTTTCAAAGGCATATTTCTCTATTCCAACGCACCTTCGGATTTCGTTGTCGCACTTTCCATACTCTTTTCAAAACATTTCCTAGATATTTACATTTTTACGCTTGTTATATTTGGTATCTCCAGTTTACTTGGCTGACAAATTCTCTTGCTTAGTGAGTTCTTTCTCTAGTTATAATGTGTTTTCGGTAATAAATGGGATGACCAGGCATCAAGCAATAGTCAGTAGACAACTGCTACTGTGTAATGGGTTCGATCTTCACCGGAGGCGCATATTTTTTTTACCTTGTGATAGAATAATCACCGCTGAATACACGCAGCTCTACTGAGTTTGCCGTGCTAGCACAATTACAACTAAGTAGTGAGTTCTTTCCCCAATACTTTCCGTCTTGTTCTACATCTAAAATGCGCTTAGAAAATCACCATATAGCTCTGCTGAATTGGTCGCTTACTGTAGTGTAGTTGTTCAGAAGAACGACACGTTAACCAATTCAATAGGGTTACTCAATTCAACTACCAAGCTTAATTTCTGACACCGCCTCTTGTTCAGATGTGTATAGAAGGTCGTTTATCAGTTTAGATTGATATTCTAGAAAAAAGATCGATCTTTTACTTCATTCTCAATGGATAATGGAAATCGAAGTTCAGATATTGATCAGCGAATATTAGCTTACGTTATATGGATCCATTTGATCTCTTATGTAAATCATTCATACATATGCGGAAATAACAAGTTATTGCCCTTTTCCTTTTCCATAGTGAATAGTACTAAACGTTTGTATTGAGTTCATGCCATCAGCTGTAAATTTTCATGGTGAGTCTGAAGGATGACTGCATTATCTGAGTGGCTTTGCTGGCGAGTTGAATTCAATTGTGTCATTCTTTCGTGACCTTTTCCTCAGGCTATCTTATGGATATATTTGAAAACACTAACAGCACAGGCGAGATCAAACATTGCCAAACATTATTTCAAATGGTTGTTGTTAAGGACCAGCATGTCAGTCATTCATTAGATTCTTTGTAGATATTATTCACTCACTAATCGTTAGGTCGTCATTCTATAAATATCTCAGTTCATTTTAGAAAGAAAATTAGATATGTTAACAAATAACTTTGGTAGCTGTTTAGTTCAGATATTGTGTATCTTTTTACCAATCTGCCTCTGCATGTTTTAGAAATGCTATTTTGGGAAACAGGTTCCCGTATGGATACTTTCATGAACCCTACAATCTTAACCTCTTCACGTCCAGATTTAATCGCTATTTATCGTCCTTATCTTCATTATATTCATCCTATAGCACCTCCTCTTTTATTTACATTCCAAATCATTTATTTTTACAATTTTAACAAATTAACTTCTCACATTGAGTGGCTCTAGAGACTTATACAGTGTGTCCATAAAGTTCGTGCGCACTTTAAAAAATTTATAACTTTATTTCTATTTGCGATAGAAATAATTTGTAAAAAGGATTAGAAAGAAGTAAATCTATCTTTTTTAAGGTTTTATTGTGTTATAGTGGAACACACCTATTCCATAGTTAATAGACTCTCCCACCTATAATAAGTAAAAGTAGTAAGAGTAACGAGTCGCTGAGTTGGGTCGCTCAGTCAGTCGATGCCGGACGACCGTTAGTCGGATACTAAAGTATCAGCGACCACAACTAGATTTCTCTGCGTCATTACCTATTATATCAAGTTCCTAACGTTTTGAACGTCGAACCTATTTTAGGACCGACTTAGTACAAATACAAGCCTCCACTGTGAAATCACTCCATAACATATTGAAATTTTATTTAACTTTCCACATGTCCTCCATCATTAGCAATACAACGTGTAATACAATTTTGCAGTTCACGGAAAACATTTGCCAACTGATTTACAGTAATGCCTGAAATCACATTAGTTATTTTAGCTATACTTAAATCTAGATACATTAAACTTTATAACATTTTTCACAGATTATTTCTATCGCAAATACAAATAATGTTATAATTTTTTAAAGTGCACACGAACTTTATGGACACCCTGTATTAAGTCAATTTTAGAATGACAAAAGTTCGTGGAAAACTTCGACTTTACACTTCCTAGTGTGAAAGGTACAGTCTCATGACAGAGAATCTAATTAACCTTTTTTCCTATTGTTTAGTGAATACAGAGCCCGAAAACAATTCAAGTTTACTGTTGTTATCAAAGCGAAAAGAGGTGAAGATATTTTACGATATATTTTACGATATGCAGGATAGATAACGGTTGTCTCTAGATTTGAAGAGTTTTAACCTGTAACGATCCGAGAAATGTCCTCTCGAGAGCTAATTCCACAAAGTAACTGTTCTACAGAATAATCAATCCGAATGGAACTTCTTCATCACTAATGGAATACGAATAGAATGAGGATGTGTTGAACCTGTGTACATGTTATGGTAGAACTAAGTAATGTAGCTCGTTTGGACATTTACCATGGGAATTGCAATAGAATAGCGCAAGCTAGCAAAGTTTTGTCCGTGAAAAAGGCGTTGCAGGGTGGATATTCATCCATCACCCACAAGACCATGTAATCGCCACTGAACTGGGTAGCTCTGGAATGACAACGATGCTCCATTTTTGGTTTGAAATGATTCATGTCAAGATAGAGCATGGCCGTAAAGAGTTAAGTATTTGCTGGGGTGATGCAAGGAATCGATCATTCTTCCATAATCTATAGCGAGTTTTGATTCAGATGCGCAGTTAAAGATCACTGCAGACCTCAAGTGAAATTCGTATCAATTGAAGATTGAGATAAAGAAACATCACTGAGAGTTCGCTCCCTTATCAAGACTGGAGAAAATTTAGTGTCTCCTCAATGGCAATGAAACGACACGAGCTTTGTTTTGAGGTTATTGAATGTTATAAGCCAGTTATTCCCGTACTGAGCTAGTTCACCGGGGAGACCAGCTGCCAGGCTCCGGTCATCCATACTTTTGGAAGCGCGCCCATGCGTCGGAGTATCATCTACTTATATATTTACTAAAGATCCGTGAATGTTTTTGGATAGCTCGTTAACAGGAAACAGAAATATCGAATCATCAAGAGAATCTTGGTGAGAGTCTTGGGGGACGCCAACATTGATCTCATGTATTTCATATGACTGACTATTAACAACTACCTTGATTGACCCGATATGAAAGGATTGATAACTGAGAAATCTCTTTCAGGTATTCTGTATCTGGAGAGATTGTGTAGCAACGCCTAAGACATACCTTATCGAAGCCCTTAGAGATATCTAAAACAATTACTTTCGGGATATGTTTATTATCAATCGTTTCACTGCTTCTAAGGTTGATGATAGTTGACATCAGCAGTGGCTCTATAGGAGGGAAAACTATACTGTTTGTCGCTCAGCAGGTTGTTTCTATTGAGGTAATCGAGAACTTTCTTGTTTATGTTAGTCTAAAAATGCTGATGGTAATACAAAGGAATTCTATATGGTATATGACATATATTATCATGCATTTCAAGATAAGTATGATTGAATATTGATTTCGCGTTCCTCCGGGTGGGTTCGATAGTGATTGTAACGCTAGTATGTACAAATACTGATGCCAAACTAACTATATTTGAGTAATGATTTGAAAGTTCATTAGGTTAGTCAATTTGGTTTCATATTGTATAGTAATTACTTAAATGTTGATTTCATTGAAAGATTGGCTTTGATTTCCGTTTACCCTACTGCATCCCAAAGTAATTGTTATAATTATTTCAAATGGCTTACATATATTCGACAGGCATGAATAGAGTGATTGAAGGACTAATGGTCATTGTTTTGGAAAATCAAATCAGCCAACCAAGTTCCAGATATGCTTTGACATAATGTTTAGTTACTGGTATACCAGAATGGATAAATATAGAATTTTCAAACTTGAAAGATTATATAATTATCAGATTTTGTGAATATTGTTTTTTAATTAAAAGGACACTTACTTGAAACCCATGAAAATTCCAATAGACGGACCAAGCATTAGGACAGATGCCGCATTTACATAGATAGACACCAGATGAATGGTTTTAGCTTCCTGAAAAAGACAAAAGAATTAATAAGCATTCCTCAAATGAAGATTGTACTTAACTATAAGAGATCATTTTTAACGAATCAGATCAGTTTTCGTGTGTCGTTTCTGAGCACAGACCACGAATCCGAAAACGGAAAAGTTTCTCACCTTCGTTTGGTAAAAATGATTGAGGACAAACGTAAATAAATTTCCTTTTCCGTTATGTCCCGATATGTGAAGCATATTGACATGATGTCTCGTCTCTAGCTTGCCACAATGATTGATAGAGATGAAACAACGCGAGGAATTATACAGCTCAATCTTCTGATGTACAGGCAGAGCAAAGTAAAAAAAACAAAAAAAAACATTGGCCTTCACCGTCAATTGTGCCACTAGCCAAATCATATTTTATATAAAAAAATACCTCTCAAAACAACTAAAGATCAAATGTGCGAGAACATCCCGATGAAACCTCATTTGATTTGATTACAGAAATTTAAATAGTAAAAATAGAAGCAAACATGAAAAATATTTTAAAGATCAGTGAGCCTGTGTTAGTTTGCTTATTGTATAAGGAGAACCTTTTTTAATATCAGATAAGGGAGACAGGACAAGCTCTTCAGCAACAACAAAATTGTTCTTTTAAGGGCAATGCTCTTCAATGACTACAAAACTGTCATGCAGTATCTGTCTATATCTTTGAGATGAGGGATTATGTACACTATTTATATTATTCGGACAATTCTCCTCATCTTCGTCGCCGTATTTATTACAACGTTTCGGCCGTTGTACACTACGGCCTTCTTCAGGTGGTTGGAATGTCGAACTGAACCCTTTATTTCACTCATTGTGGTAGACTGTTCTAGTTCCAGGTGCCATGTCTACTGGATGTCAGTTATCAGTTATCTCCTGCTTAGTTCACACTCCAACTTCTCCAACGCCTTAACCGGGTATTGAACACACACTCTTTGGGCCCTGTCACTGGATCTAACTAACGCCTTTATCCACTGTGCCACGTGTCCTTGAGGAACTAGAACAGTCTACCCCAGCGAGCGAAATAAAGGGTATTGAACTCTTTGGCTTCTGTCACTGGATCTAACCAACGCCTTTATCCACCTTGCCATGTGGCCTCCAGGACCCATGGCATAATGGATAAAGGTGTAGCACCTGTTAGGGTTCCAGCTATGGGCAAATAGTTAACTATTACCAGCAATAATTAAAAAAAAATCATTACCAGCAATACAGTTTTGAAGGGAAAATATTAACAAAAACAAATTTGTGAAAAACAACATATTATCAGCAATAAAAAATGTTGTCGGCATTAAATAACCCATTGAGGTTGATATGCCGAAAAACAAAATAAACCAAACCAATCTAAACCAAAGAATACATATTCTATTCATACGAATCTATCCTAAAAATGTTGTCGGCATTAAATAACCCATTGAGGTTGATATGCCGTAAAACAAAATAAACCAAACCAATCTAAACCAAAGAATACATATTCTATTCATGCGAATCTATCCTAAAAATATTGTCGGCATTAAATAACCCATTGAGGTTGATATGCCGAAAAACAAAATAAACCAAACCAATCTAAACCAAAGAATACACATTCTATTCATACGAATCTATCCTAAAAACGTTGTCGGCATTAAATAACCCATTGAGGTTGATATGCCGTAAAACAAAATAAACCAAAATCTAAACCAAGCAGAGAGTTGGGGAATTAAATATAAATTAGAGAAAAAATGTTATTGCTCGTTGCTCTACTGCATCCGTCCACATTGTCAGCATATTGCCAGGGCACATGCAGGGAGTGATTTGTGGATAAAGCTGCTGATTATTTCCTATTGGCATTAATAACCGCTTTTTCGAGCCCAAATAAAAAAAATCAGGATTTTTAATATTGTTTTTCAGTACAAGGCTTTCGCTATCTTGTAGATTGGTGTAATATAATATTCCTATTTTTTCAATCTGACATTTGACACTAAGTTGAAATTAAGTTTAATCTTACCTACTTATCTGAATTCAATATCCCTGGAATTGAATACCCGTTATGTTGAAATAAGACAACCAAATGCATCCTGAAGAAATATTTGAGAGCAATGGCTTCATCGCTTTAGAATTAATAGTTTTAAAGGAAATTAAATATTGAAAATTTAAAACTAGCTAAAATGCCTCCCAAGTAAATTTGCCTAGAAAGATTCTTTCTGTGTTTTTAAACTTTATGTTTTTCTAGAAACCAAATACATCCTTTGTTATTTTAACTAATGGAAAGCGTCAGTAGAGTTCTATTTATATTATCTTATCGATTAGTCTTTAATAGAAATTTCCCCACAAAATCCAGCGAGTCGTTATCACCGAAGCTAGAATCACCCGATCTAATATAGCAAATTGTTAAATGCGTCATGTGATACACATTTTACAAAGCGATGGATAGCTTGCTGACGAATAATGGATTACCGGACAGCGTATTATAAGTCCATGGAAGAATGGATAAAAAAAGAGAAAATAACAGCACACATGCAGAGACAAAATTCCGTTTAGATGAAATGGTCTCCGGCGCAGTCAGGTTTTTATTTGATCTTTATTCTTTTTTTTATTATATAAATAAGTACAATAAAGATTAATGTGATCCTAAAAACATACTCGCTGGTTGTTAATATTTAGCTAATGGCCATGAAAGGATTTTGCAAACATTTCAGTTTTTCATCTCCTGTCAAAAATAATTGAAGGAATTGAACTGAAAGTAAAATAATAATAAAATGAAACGCTCAAATACACTTTTGTCCTTTTCTAAAATATTTTCTTAAGCAAGGTGTTTTAATTGGCCTTTCAGGATTATCTTGATCTAAATTTCTGGTATTTAAAGAAATTTTAGTCTAGTTTTATTTTGTCCATATATATAGATTATCATGCAATAAATACCTTTACCGTTTAAGATCTTAATCCGAACAACTAATATATTTTTAAACTAGCGTTTCTCAACCTATAAATGGCCTTCATATTCTTTACTGTGTCAAAAATTTGCTTGATTTATTCAACGAGCTTCTGAAATTGTAACGCAGCATCTGAGTTGTACATAGAGACGAAATGGATTTTTTTTTCTCTTTGAAAACCGTACGGGTTAGTTATATCGGAATATGAGGCACCATTAGAGAAAGGCTGATTATCATCTTTTTTAGAGACTAGCTTGCTTAATATTTTACGCTTTTGGTTTCTGATATTTCCTACTTTATTATGTGCTGTTTATAACCGTCGGGTAATGGCATTTAGTGTAGAGAAAAAATTGCTTATTAACACTTCTCAACGCAAAATTTATTTGGTAGAAGGCGGCTGTGCAAGGTTTACGAGACTTAGTCCCTTCATCTCACCTTAGAAATGACAGTCATTTTTTGATTGATGATGAATTTAAGTTACGTTACTAATGATTCCATTCGATGATGTTTAAAATATTTTTTTTACTTATTAACAGAATATCTATTTACGATCGTTCTCATGTCTTGACTTCCAGAAAAGAGATTGTAACAGTTTGTTACTGCAGGTCTTACTTCAATAGAAAACGATTACAAAATAATGAAGGCATGAACAGAAGACGTTTTAAAGAGGATAGCGGTTTGGAATTTTAGTAACTACACTGTTTAAACAAAATTTTTAAGCCACGTGGCCACGTTAGTTGGAATGTTAATGGAAAGGTCCCGAGATGGTAGATTTTTTGTTTTTTACTTGGCAGATGGTTACGCCTGCTGTTGCGGTCTGGCAATTCTTTACAGAATCATTTCGACAGAATTGTGTAAATTTATATAATCTACTCCTTAATTATTTAGTTATTATTTTTCTATCAAGCTATTCCTTAAGCGCTTCCAAATCCCACAACTTTTATATATATATATATATATATATATATATATATATATATATATATATCCTAAAAGTGTCTATCTCCTCTTGACACGTCCCCTAAACATGTGGCATTCCTACTGCGCCTGAGCTGTAGCTGCCTCATCCTCACTTTCTAGATTTGAACGAGTTCACTAGCATTTATGGGGGCTTATGGACAATTCATTATTTTCAACAATGTTAGTAGACCGTTGTTGAACCTCTTTGGAACTTTATTCCCCCTGCACGAGTGAATCATCAAAATCTCGTCAGGGTTGTCTATCGCAACAAATTTGGTAAGGAGCTTGTGTTCCTGGATCTTAATACGAATTCTTACTTGAAACATTTGATATCAAAGAAATTACAAAGGCATTCTTTCCTGGCGTTCAATGGCTTACGGTGTTTAGCAAGATTTCTTCAAAATCAATTTGTTAGCGGAAGGGTATTATTGCTTATTGAGTGCACTATAAGAAATACCTTGCGTCCGACTAAAATACCTTACTGTAATGTTATCTTCATCGTCAGACTAATGCTAACACAAAATATTACATTATATTCAACTTCGGATTTCGTCAAGTATCATGGACTCTTACAATATTGTGTGGAAGTAAGAGCCTCTTCTCCCTCCCACCTTGACTGTTGGTTTATATATCTATGATATATATTTTTCTTTACACGTACATTCCAGGTGAAACTGGGCTGATCATCTATTTACATATCGGAGTAGCCTCTGACATCAGTTGAATTGTGGATCTCGATTCCTAAATCATCTCTCAATTTAACCATGCATCTGGCTTCTCCGAAAGTGCCCAGTAAATTCTCAGGTGAGTCACATACTACAATGCTACGCAGCTTCTATGGCGTACTATCCAGAGCTTAGTAAATATCACCATATAGGAAAAGACTTATTAGGTGTATGCCAAAGTTACCAGTGACGCAAGAATACACAATAAAAGACTGCTTTCTTTAAAGAAAAAACAAAACAAAAATAAAAAATAAAACAAAAAACAAAAACAAAACAATAGAATCTTTTGTACACAAGACATTTTTAAGTTCAGTTTAACAAAATACAAATATTTGCCTGCGCTAGTCTTACACGTGAGAAATGCATGACTGGCTTGAACAATTAGCATTACCAAAAT